ACTCGGAAAGCGCTTGACCTGTTACCATAACAACTGTAACCCAATCATGAAAATGCTCAAGGAAAGGTTGACTAATCTCAAAAGGGCCAAACACTGAGAGAATTCTACCTTACCACTTTATCCATCACTTCTGCATAAGGCACAAGTTTCTTCACGTTCCAAACATTTCCATCAAATGGCATAAACTCGATGAACCGAACATTGATTGGCTTCTCGCGTGTCAACTCCACAAAATCACAAATCTCATCATCATTCAATCCCCTCATGACAACACAATTGACCTGTCAAGACCACAGACAATATGCAAAAACTATCGAGCATCAAATATCATTCTGCTGCAATCAAACAGAAAACATGAGGAGGGATTAATTATAAACATACTTTCACAGGATTGTATCCAAGCTCAATAGCAGTATCAATCGATTTCATAACCCTATCGTGCCCTTTACGCCTAGTCAGAAACTCAAACTTTGCTGGGACCAAAGTATCCAAGCTAATATTTAGCGAATCAAGCCCGCATTCTTGAAGCTTAGGTAGCTTTTTCGCAAGAGTGATACCGTTGGTAGTAATAGCCAGATTCTTCAACCCTTTTAAACTAGACAACTGGAGACAAATCTCTTCGATATCATTCCTAATGGTAGGCTCACCACCGGTCAACCGAATCTTGTTAACCCCAGCAGAAACAAAAAGACCAGCCAACCTAACAATCTCAGACTGTGACAACAACTGGGGCTTAGGAGTAAGCTCCACACCTTCAGAAGGCATACAATACTGACACCGGAGGTTACACCGCTCTGTCAAAGATATTCTCAAGTAGGTATGTAACCGACCAAAAGAATCAATCAACATGTCAGAGACAGGACTGTCTTTGGTCTGATCAACTTGATGAGCTGCATAACTAGTGCTAAATGAACGCTCACTAGTAGTAGTAATGGTTCTTGTAACTGAACCTGACCCAACTTCAGAACCAACCTGTTAAACAGTCCCAAAATGGTAAGCATTGAGAATCACATCAGCACACATATATAATTATTCACTAGTAAAACTCGTATCAACATTTATCAGCTCTTAAATCCTTAAATCAATTCGAAAAAGCAACAAACTTGAGTGGAGAAATCGAAACCCATTGTAGCAGAGTGAAATAGGGAAAAGTTGGGAAATTTACCAAGAAGAAGTTGGAATTCTTGAAACCCAAGTAGCAATCAGTAATTTTGGAGAAGCACCTCCTCATCGTTAACAACAAGATCGAATGAGAATTTCTGAGAAAGGAGGAAGATAGAAATCTAATCAAAGTGAGAGAAAGAAATGACCTTTGGTAGGAAGACGGAGAGAGTCTTTGTTCAAAATAAAACAACTAAAGACAAAGTGAAGACGGCTCTTATTAGTTTGGCTAAAAGCCTAAGCAAATAACATGAAACTCTTTCGTCTTTTCTCAACATATCTGTCGGTCTCGCCGGTGACCCGTTACCGGCAATCAAACCGACCTTAATTGGATAATTTTACTGGTCCGAGTCATAGATGTGAAATTCAGATTGCATCTGGATCGGATATGTTATTATAGTGGATTTTTAAATTATTTAGTAACTGTGATTACATAATTAACATATACTACTACGTAGCGTTACTACTACATTATTAAAATAAAATAAATATTTAAAATTTAAAATCTGCTAATCATGTAACAAACACACATGTGAATCCAACATAATAAATAATTTGATTTTTGGTTTTCTCGACTGACAAGTAACAAATGTCACACTAAGTTGATTTATCCTCACATTTGTTCTAATTTTTTTTTTTTTTTGATAAAAACTAAATTTTTTATTTTTTCTCTGTTGTATATTGATATCATGTTACTCCCTCCGTTCTTTTATAAATGATGTTTTAGAAGAATGCACATAGATTAAGTGATGTTTATTTCTAAACTAAAATATCATTTATTATCTAATCAACCAATAAAAAAAACAATCTACAGAATATAAATCGTCAAAACCAATAAAAACGTAATTAATTTTACATTAAAATTTGAAAACATCATCTATGTAAGAACAATATTAGAAGCTTAAAACATTACTTATAAAAGAACGGAGAGAGTAAAACTTATAGAAGTTTATAATAATAATTACTTAAAGAAATCCTTAGAAAAGAAAAAAAAAATCATTAGCATTTATTCCTTTAATTAGTACAGTAGTACTAGAGATATATAAAGATTAAAGAACACAATATTCTCGTATGTATGCATTTGCAGATATTTTTCTTAAAGATCAGATTCTATTCCACATGTTCTTATTATTCTTTCTTATCGTATTCATACGTTGATATACCAAAAAAGCTCTATACACAATGACACAAAAAAAAGGCTTTGTGCACATGTGACATGTTTACTACAACAAAATGCGACATTCTCACACTAATTTTGACAAGTTAATTTCAAAAGCAACAATTCTCCCTAAGTATTTATTTATCTCGTTTAACTAGTACTCCCTCCGTTTTCGAATAGTTGTCGTTTTAGAACTTTTTTGTTTGTTTTAAATTAGTTGTCGTTTTAAGGTAATAATGTAATTTATGCTAATAACTACTCAAATTACCCTCATTTTATTGAACACAAATTATTTGTAAATAATTACTTATCATTTTTATGAGGTTAATATAGTCATTGTATACCTTTTTTTAATTTGTCCAAATACAGTTAAAACGACAACTTTTAAAAAACAGAGGGAGTAGTTACTAACAAAAAGAAACATGAAGAGCTCTACCTCTATGCAGTTAATCCCAACACTTCTCTTCTTAATCATACATCTTGCCGCACCAGGTATGCAAATCTAGTTTATCACAAACTCACAATATTAAGAAGTTAATCAAAATTTTGGTTACAACTATTAAATATATATATGAAATATTAGGCATTGGATAATAGATGCCATAAATAAAATTGGCTGTAACGACAAAATAATTTCATCATTATTGATTATATTTGTGGTTATAATAAATTTTTATTATTAAATAATGATAATATATTAAATTACAGATATATAGATGGTTGAAGGACAAAAAATGTGTGAAGCAAAGAGCATGAACTGGAAGGGTATGTGTATGAAGTGGAGGAAATGTCGCCAAGTATGCATTAGCCAAGGTTTCACTTAGGGGTAGGCATTCGGGTATGCGGGTCGGGTTCGGGTAAAATCCGATCGGGTACGGGTCTTTCGGGTAGAGGAGTTTAGGACCCAATAAGGTAAATCTAAAATATCGGTTCGGTTTCGGTTCGGGTCTAATCGGGTTCGGGTCGGTTCGGGTTTAGATTTTTAGAACCGCTAAATACCCAAAAAAATCGGGCACCCATCGGGTTCGGGTATTTTATACCCAAATACCCAAAATTTTACCAAATACCCGAATTTTACCCGAAATTTTACTCTAATATCCGAATTTTATCCGCAATTTTACTCAAATATCCAAGTTTCACCCAAAAATTTATCCGAATAACCGGAATTTTGTCCAAATATTTAAAAAATTTACAAGCATCTCGCGTATAAATATATTTAGTCTTAAATATATAAATATTAGTGCATTTAATTTTTGGTAATTACTCTCGGATATTTGGATATAAATGTATTTAGCTCAAATATTACATATATATAAAGTTTTTATATGTATAAGTATAAGTAATTTCGGGTAATCGGGTACCCGTTCGGGTATCGGGTTCGGATCGGGTTTTACCCTATATCCACGGGTACGACAATACAAGATCCAATAGGGTAAATAGCTAATACCCGTACCCGCCCCGAACCGGTTTTTTTGGGTCGGTTTCGGTTCAGATACTCGGGTACGGTTTTTTTGCCCAGGCCTAGTTTCACTGACGGTCGTTGCAAAGGATTCACCCGCAACTGCATTTGTAGCAAACTTTGTTTTGTCCCTTCTAATTAAAGTTTTTATTTTGATATTAAATTTTAAAATAATAACACAATTCATTAAAAAGATTATGGTGTTCTGATTATGTAAGTTGATAAGAAAAAAACCTCAATTTTAAGCAATGGTTTTCTAAGTTTGTCTTCCATGTACTACAATGTATTATTTTTCAATATATGGAACACCTTACATGTCTTCCGATTATATATAGTTCCCATTTTTAATCGATGAGGATAAAAGGAACCGTATATATATATATATCATTTTTCGATTTTATATTAGTATTAAACTAAATTATATATGTTGGTGAAAAAACATTTGATCGTTAAATCAGAAATAGACATTAGGAATTGGACCTCGCATCTTATAAAGAAGATTAAAGCATAAGAACATTGGAATAAGGGAGGTTGTGGTAATGTGGTGGACATTCCTGATTGAGAAGACTCACCACACCAACACATAATTATTTAGTAACAAAGACATTGGCGCCTGTCTTGTTCCCGTTGCTTTTCCCATCTTTATCTCCAAATCTCTCTCTCTCTCTCTCTTGTTCTACTACTTTGGGGAAGATGATAGCTTCTTCTTCTTCTTCCTCCATCGCTTGTTCTTGATTCTACTTGAAGCCGTCGTAGCTTTTGGTCCTCCGCTTCTCTTTTCAGGTGATTGGTCATTGATCTCTGGGTTTTTGATTTCGCAAGCTTTTGGGTTTTGCTTTTCCTTTTTTTATCTGCCTTACTAATCCGAATCTGATTCAAAGTTTACAACTTTAACTTGGGTTTTTCTCACTGAACTCTTATGAGTGAGACATAGATTCGTCTTCTAGGTCTGTTTCGGAGTGAGTTACTTAAAAAATTAGTATCATTTTTCGATTTTTCTTCTTATAATCTAGTTGATTTTCCATCGTAGTCGATACTTCCAAAGCTGAAGCCTTTGTTACTTATAGAATAAGGATTGTCTTGTGTCTCGCTATAGATTATCGAAGATAGTTGTGAATGAAGATTCTGGGTAATTAGGTTTCGTGATAAAGTTTTGTGCTTTACACATCTTCTGCTACTTTTTGAGTATGGCCTAACTAAAAAAGTAACTTTTAGCATTTCTTTTTGATGATATCGATTTTATAGGAGTGAATCTCATCTTGCTTCGGAGTGAAACAAATCATCTTCCTTTTTTGTCGGATTGCTATTTGATTGCAATCTCTTTCAAGAGCTTATGATTTGCTCTTTTTCAGTTCATATTTAGTTCTCAAAGATTGTTGTTAATGGTGGTGTAAAAGCTCTTTTATTTGCTTCTTTGTTTAGTTTATTTTTAGTAGGATTTAGAATATCATGGCTCAAAGGAGAGGACCTGATCCGCCTCCGCCCCAGAGGCGGATTCTGCGGACTCAAACTGCTGGTAATCTCGGAGAGGCTATGTTAGACAGTGAAGTGGTGCCATCGTCTCTTGTGGAGATTGCTCCTATCCTTCGTGTAGCTAATGAAGTAGAAGCTAGTAACCCGCGTGTTGCTTACTTATGTGAGTTCAAATAATGAAAAAAATTGCCTCATGACGTGATTTGGTCATCTTAAATGATCTTGAAAAAAAATCGTCATGGATGCTTCTATCAGGTCGGTTTTATGCGTTTGAGAAGGCACACAGGCTTGATCCCACATCAAGTGGACGAGGTGTTCGCCAGTTTAAGACCGCGCTTCTTCAACGGTTAGAACGGGTGAATATCATTACTTCATTTACTCTGCTTGAGTTTTCATCTTCACGCCGTTGTCTTGCTGGGGGATTATGTATCATTTTGCTTTATGTCTTAAACTCTTGCAGGAGAATGAAACAACTCTTGCAGGAAGGCAGAAGAGTGATGCACGCGAAATGCAAAGTTTCTATCAACACTACTACAAGAAATACATCCAAGCTCTGCTAAACGCCGCTGACAAAGCTGACCGGTTTGTTGAGATCCCTGTCTTATCTCTATAGCAATCTGTCTTTCGGTGTTTCTCCTTTATAATACAAAGTTATTTTACTTGTAGTGCTCAACTTACAAAGGCATATCAAACTGCTGCTGTTCTCTTTGAAGTCTTAAAAGCTGTTAATCAGACAGAAGATGTGGAGTCGCT